AGGGTCACAATGGGTCAGCACCAACTCGATGGCACTTAACAACAACAACAATTATCAACAAATTTTAATCGCGCACTTATGCTTCATGGTGAATAATCTGATATAGTGTATCAATACAAAATGAATAAAGAATAAAAATATATAAGCAGGAAACTGATCAGGGAGATTGACATAATTTTCTTTTTTTTTTTTATCATGCAATATGTTAGCTGCAGCCTAATGATAAAGACAAAGTACAGTAGAAATGTTAACTGAAGTGTTAATTGCATCTCTACTCAACAACAGAGAGCTCTTTCTTCTCCTGATAAAGAATAGTCAGAAGAGGCAGAATTTCCATATGAGCAAAGGTTTATTGTAGGAAAGAGATTTGCAAATGGAAACACAAGGGCTTAATGCAATGCTTAACTCTTATCTCCCCAAAAAAGACTTTGCTGGGATTTTAAAAAGTTTTGTATGGGGAAAAGGCATCATGTATATTCAGAGAGATAGGTGGGGATTTCTGGGAAGTGGTCTGTTTAGGAAAGGCTATCCTGGTGTGGCACTGTGGGCTAATGCACTAGACTGCAAAGTCGGTTGAATCATAAGGTCAGATCGGAGGTTCAAGCTCACCAGCTGTACCTCAGAAACCCAACTCGACGGCACTTAACAACAACAATATACTAATTGGGTACATGTGCAACATTTATTCAAGATGGATTCCACCAAAGACCTCTGGTAGATGCAAAGAAGACTTACTCTAGTTTGTCAAGCATGGATATTGTTGTTAAGTGCCGTGGAGTCAGTTCCAACTCATAGTGACCCTGTACATGGTTTCCAAGTGGTTTCTGAGGCTGTAAATCTTTACAGGAGCAGAAAGCCTCATCTTTCTACAGCTGATAGTTTCGAACTGCTGACCTTGCGGTTCACAGCCCAATTCATAACCGCTACACTACCAGAGCTCCTTCAAGCATTGATAGTTCTTGAGAAAGCTGGTTTCTAGTCCCTCCCAGAGGTTGGTGTTCTTGTCTGCCCCCAGGGGAAGGTCATTCTTCAAGGTGGGTAAAACCCGTTGGCCTGTAAAACATCTTGTTGTTGTTAAGTGCCATCCAGTCAGTTCTGGCTCACAGCGACCTTGCAGAGGGTTTTTGAGAAGCAAATAGTAGTTTTGAACAACCACCATGTGGTTCGAAGTCCAGTGCTCATCCTATAATGCTTCACCAAGACTCCCACAAAGGAAATAAAATATAGAGATCTTAGGAGTGGACTGTTTACAGTTGCTGTTGTTGTTGTTACGTGATATCAAGTCAGTACTGGCTCTATGCACAACAGAATGAAACACTGCCTGGTCCTGGGCCAACCTCACTATTATTGCCACATTTGAGCCCATTGATGCTGCCGCATTACCAATCCATCTTGCTGGGGATTGTTCTCTTTTTCTCTGACCATCCACTTTACCAAACATGATACCCTTCTCCAGTGACTGGTCTCTCCTGACAATATGTCTGAAGTATGAGA